ATATTGTAATTACCTCCATCTTTTTTTTTCATTAATTAATAATCTATTAACTTCTGTTAATGCCAGAATTTAGTAATTACAATCCGCCATATTTCCTCTACTTATAATTAATTTTTTGGAAGTATAAAATCAAGATTGATTAGTTCATATTTTAATATTTATTTTAATTGAAATAGAAAATGTAGGTTAGAGGTACCTAAGATGATCATCGAAATCAAACGATAATTGGAATTTGTATTGATAGCAATTCTTAATATCAAATGTTATATTGTCAAGATTGTTTACATCATGGTTAACATCGTATTAAGTTATTACCTTTGGAATAGTTTAATGAATGGATTTAAAGACGAATTCTCATTATGAAAGATGAATAAAGGAATGCTTAAGAGTGCAAGTCTGTTCTTGATAGTTTTCATAAATATATTTATTCCTTACTTCAATATTAAGATAGAATAATTAGGAATATCGTAGATTGGTACCATGATTTAGGGTTTATGTTAAATCAAATTTTACGAGTAATAATTATTTAACCAACTCAAATAATCAATCCAAATGGTTAAATAAATTGTAGATGAGGTTAAAGCCATTTAATTTTGATCTCATAAAATAATATGCAATTAAGTAAAATGAATTGTGTTGTGCAATCACTTTTAAGAAAGATTGCTTAGTTGTGATAGCTGAATATTAAGGAAGATTAAAGTGTATTAATATGTAGAAGGAAAAATTAATCAAATATAAGTGTTTAGTGAACATACTAAAAGTGTGTATACTTTGAATTTCATGATGAATACAGATAATTTTGTATCTGGGAGTAGCAATAAATTAATGATAAGATGGTAGGTGAACGAAAATATTTAATGGATTTGTTAATAAAAATTAGATGAACATTCAAATTCTATATTTTGTTTAATGTTGAAAAATAATGATGATCTCATTAAATTTGGGAGTATGGATTATACAATTAAAATTTGGAAAAAATCGAATTAATGGTTTTGCTGACAAACCATAACTGATCATACAGATGTTGTGAATTCATTAAGTTTTTTTATTAACAAAATAAGGTGATTTCTTGTTCGCGTGATTCATTTATTCTAGTGATAGAATAGTCATAGTTGGATAAAAAATGGAATGTTAGATAAAAGATAAAAGTAGATTAGTATGGATTAAGATTATGTTTTATCAATAATAACTAATTTACATTCTAACCATATTGTTCTGAATAAATGCAAATTTATATAAATAGTATTACTAAATAATATAGGAAGACAAAAGAAATTTCAGTTAAGTCTGGCTCAAATGATGATAATTGCTTCTTTCCATAATAATAGTTAAATTCTTAGGAAATACAAATAAGCAAGCGTAAGGAGAAATGAAAAATAATAAAATATTATTAAAACATTAACAAAAAAATTCGCTTATAAAAACAAAACATCATTGTCCATTTTTATTTTTCCTCTATATTGTTTTGATCTTAAAAGGTGATAAAATTTATGAGGAATGATTAAAATAGAATAGAAGTAGCAAAATTCAAAACTTTCTGAATAGAATTTAAATGTATATACATGATTGAAAGATGACATGGATAGATTGATATAACAAAATTAAATAATTAATTAAAATGTTGCAATTGAGAGGAAAATAAAACATTTTTAAACAATCCTTTGTAATAAAAATTAACTTTTATAATCTCTATTTATGATCTCATTCATTATTTCTCTAAGCAACGAGAGCAATTTAAATTTTCTACTCTAAAAACTTTCTTATATTTATATAGCTAATTTGAAGAAGATATTAAGGTATAATTGAAAATGACTTATAGCAATAATTTAAATATTTTTAAGATAAATTTAGATTGGAATCATTTTAATTATAAGCGGATTGGCATCTTCTCGCCATGGTATTACGAAATTCTAAAATATTTATTTTATTATTTTAAGTCATTTCTTTCTTTATTTAAAATAAATTATTTAGGGTTTACGAATTGTTAATATTGTGTAAAACTCAATTTAAATTTACCTCTCATTGATAATAAAATGAAAAAATAAATGATAAATAATCAAACTCAGGCAAGATGTAATAGATATATTGTGTATTTCGCTCAAAATTACATAAAATTTTAAATCTGCTTAATTCAATTATAATTTATGAGAAAAAATTTACATAAATAAAAATTCAATATTTCTCAATTATTAATTTTTCAAGAATATAATATAAGGAATTAATCAGATAATTAACTTAAATTTTAATTTAAAAAAAGTAGAGTTTACCATAAAATAGAAGTACCACTACAACCATGAAATAAATGATCGTTAATTTAAACTACTTGATAATAAAGAATATTACAAAAGAAATATAATAAAACTCTAATTAATTAATTGGGGAAGTCTAAACATAATAAGCGATTAAGAAAAAATAGAATTCAAATAAATTTTCTATTTTTCTACTTATTTGACCATATTATTGTATTAAAATAAAAAAGAAGACTTTACTTTACTAGACTTACTAAAATTAGGCAACTCCAGAACTATAGTATTCAATCAGATTAAAAGACTCTTATGAAATCATTATCATTTATATAATTTTTTTCCATTTTCCTTAAAAAAGGTAATGAAGCGAGATTGCACAATTATATATATGAATCATTCTTAAAATATTATAATTGTGTACATAAAAATAATTATAAATATTTGAAATAATTAATATACATAGCTCACTCTATGAAAAATGTTTTATGATGATCCAAACTAAAAAAGTTAAGGCTTAAATAATTTTAAAAAAAATGATAATAATATTCTCATGTATGAATCTATTATATATGAGAATAACATGAAGTATGGAAGCATAAAATCTGTAAATTGCTTTAATTATAGAGCAAATTCTTCTGATATTGATTATTTTATGCAAAAGAAAGTTGTGGAATATATCTTATTGCTTAAACTATTAAAAATACCCAATTAAAAGTGAATTAATTCTCAATAAATTTTATTATTTTTTTAATTAAATGTTTAAACCAAAAATGTTGGAAAATGAAAATGATTTTTGTTGCACTTA